AAAATTTTATAGGTTTGTTTGTATTTTGAATTTGTAGTGAACAAACCAAGATCTAGATTTAAAATTCAAATGCTAAGCACTGACTCATTGATTTTGTTAAAAATTAAAAAGACTCAAATTTACAAACTTTGCTCAGCACACACGCAAAAGCGAATCCAAAACAAAACTCGTGAAATTTCACACCTTGATGCGAAATGTTTTTCGGCCAATAGAAAACTAGGAAACATTTAAAATCAAAATTCAAATAATCTTCAATTCTCAGAAACAAATTCTTTTACGGACCTTGTCGTGTGCCGACGCGAAATTTGTTCGTCGTCCAATGGAAACCCCAAATCATATCCAGGAGTGAATTCCCAAATGACCTTTTCAAGCCCAACAAACAAAATAAAATACGGACAAGTTCGCCCGTCACCAGAGAGAAGGAGATGGGCGTATTAACACGTACCTTGACAAACATCAAGCGATTATCTCTACCTTTCTCCCTCACCCCTTTTATACTTGATAAACGAACGGAACATTTTAAGACTGAGCGATTACTTCAAAGACATTCCTACCCTACGATAACGCTCATACATCCATACATACATCCACACATACGTTCCTGTCTATGTACACATAAACTCATTCTTGAAAGGACTACTATGAATATTTTGACGACCTTGTATCAATTACATGTACATTAATTTTTATTTGTAAAGACCTTAATTGATTTATATGTATATAAATTTGTTGTTTCACTTTACAATTTGATTTTCTTGTTTTATACCCCTCTTTTGGATGGCTATCTAACTAACAAGGTCAAATCAAACTAATCTGTTTCCACACTCATATACTTCACTATAACTGATAACCCACTATAAATTAATCTAAAATCGAAGAAAAATCTATGTTGACATTAAAATTTGAATCAAAAGTTCATTGAATTTTCAATGTTAAATTTGTTTCTTTTTATATATGAGCATTTTATTTATAAAACTGGGATTTTGTTCACTTTTGGGATGAGAGACTGAGACTTTGTTTAGTGTGTTTTTGTCCTATTACCACTTGTACTCAAGCATTACTTTTGTGAAGTGAGGCTCACAATAATAATAATAATAATAATAATCGTTGAGGAGAATAAAAAATATTTGGAGAAACTTGTTGTCACTTGTTTCCCAGTGACAGTCACCGGATGACTCCCTTAGGAAACATGTAGAGAAAGCCATTTATTAGTTTTAGCGTCGTCGTGGCACAAGGCTATCATAAAGGAGTGCCCATTGAGACTCCCACATATTACTATTATAAACGAGCCTGTTAACCTCGCATCAAGGTAAGACGCCATAAATAGGCTTAACATATAATGATTTACTAAGTGTAGCTTAGATGTGTCTGAAAAGTGTAGAGTACCCAGAGATTAAATCTAACTCACTACTCATAATTAATATAGCAAGACAAGCCTGGTAACAAATATACCACGTCGAAGTGCTTTCCTGTACTAAGTGATGCTTAGGTGCGGCACAAGGCCGCGTATATAGGGCACCTATTGAGGATCGAACTCATTTTCCAGACGTAACTGACCTAGCGAGACAAACTTGCTAACTATTAAACCAAATCGAAGCCCCCAAATAATGATTTACTAAGCGTAGCCTTGATGTGTCACAAGGCCGAGATTATGGAGCATCGGTGATGTTCAAACACACTACTCCTGATTGATGTATTAAAACAGGCTTGCTAACCATTACACCACGTCTAGTTGTCCCTCCGACGTGGTGCAGTGGTTAGCAAGCTGGAATACTTATTGTTCCGTGAATTCGATTCTCATTGGGTATCCCTTGGACTTGTTCCATATCTAAGCTATGTTTAGAAAATCGCCATTATACTACGTCGAAGTACTCGAATAGGGTTAACTTAATAGGCCAGTTTGAGTGACATTATTCTTTTCGTCATTGTTGCTTTTTTTTTTTTTGTCTCAGCCTCGAAGCTTAAAATGTACTGGGTCAAGGAAACATTTTATAATCCAAGAAAAATTAAACCTATAATAAAAATGAAAATTGTCTCATTTTGAAGCATGGAAATTGTGGTAGGCCTACCCCTAAATAATTATGCTAGTCAAACTACAAATAAAAGGAAAATAAAAAAGACTCCGTCGAAACGCGGGAAAAAACCAAGTGCGTTTGCTTTTTAAAAAGGTTGATAATAGGAGCCATCTTTCATACTGCGGAGAAAGAACAATAGCCAGGGGCTACGTTGTTATCGACGATAATATGTTTTGCTGTCTTTATTGAATGTGCCTTCTTATTAGGGGTCTGAAGCCTTAATACCTATTTAAAAATAATTGGCCTGACTTTTCTCTTTCCTTATTTTCATCACGAGTTGCTGTTGCCGAATCCAACAAACACATTCAAATTTATTACACCGTCTCTTCAAATAATAAATGATTAGATTTGTTTGTTTAACGGCATATCAACTCCTTATGGGTCATTTAATGCCGAAATTTAATTTTCTTGGGAGTTTTGAAGTAATAAAAATATATGTTATTCTGCTTTCACAGTTGAATACATGGTAGATGATACTCAGCTTTTGTGCATGTACATGTTTGTGCGGACATAATTATTAGAGGTGATAATATGTGTTTCATACTGCAGTTTTGTTGAAGATATATTTTGAATAAAGTTTGATTTAAGAAATTGTCAGATATTATATGGCCTAATGTCATGAAAGAGTTCTTTCATATTATTTCGTTGGTTGATTTTACTTAGCAGCATATCATGCTCTATGGATTATTCAATACCAAAATGTAAAATATTTGAACAGTTTTATGGCTTCAACTAAATATATTTTGAACGCAACTGTATACTTTCAACTTCAGATAAAATGTATTGTTGGTCATTTTGCTATAAAATATATTGTTGGTAATTCTACTATAAAAAGGTCATATTGTTGGTCATTTTGCTATAAAATGTATTGTTGGTCATTTTGCTATAAAATATATTGTTGGTAATTCTACTATAAAAAGGTCATATTGTTGGTCATTTTGCTATAAAATGTATTGTTGGTCATTTGCTATAAAATATATTGTTGGTAATTCTACTATAAAGGTCATATTGTTGGTCATTTTGCTATAAAATGTATTGTTGGTCATTTGCTATAAAATATATTGTTGGTAATTCTACTATAAAAGGTCATATTATTTGGTCATTTTGCTATAAAATGTATTGTTGGTCATTTTAACTATAAAATATATTGTTGGTAATTCTATAAAAAGGTCATATTGTTGGTCATTTTGCTATAAAATGTATTGTTGGTCATTTTGCTATAAAATATATTGTTGGTAATTCTACTATAAAAAGGTCATATTGTTGGTCATTTTGCTATAAAATGTATTGTTGGTCATTTGCTATAAAATATGTTGTTGGTAATTCTACTATAAAATATTGTTATCATTTTGCTATAAAATGTATTGTTGGTCATTTGCTATAAAATATATTGTTGGTAATTCTATAAAAATATTGGTCATATTGTTTGGTCATTTTGCTATAAAATGTATTGTTGGTCATTTATTGCTATAAAAATATATTGTTGGTAATTCTACTATAAAAACGTATTATTGGTCATTTTGTTATAAAATGTATTGTTGGTCATTTGCTATAAAATATATTGTTGGTAATTCTACTATAAAAAGGTCATTTGTTGGTCATTTTGCTATAAAAATGTATTGTTGGTCATTTACTATAAAATATATTGTTGGTAATTCTACTATAAAAAGGTCATATTGTTGGTCATTTTACTATAAAATGTATTGTTGGTCATTTGCTATAAAATATATTGTTGGTAATTCTACTATAAAAAAGGTCATATTGTTGGTCATTTTGCTATAAAATGTATTGTTGGTCATTTGCTATAAAATATATTGTTGGTAATTCTACTATAAAATGTCATATTGTTGGTCATTTTGCTATAAAATGTATTGTTGGTCATTTTGCTATAAATATATTGTTGGTAATTCTACTATAAAAAGGTCATATTGTTGGTCATTTTGCTATAAAATGTATTGTTGGTCATTTTGCTATAAAATATATTGTTGGTAATTCTACTATAAAAAGGTCATATTGTTGGTCATTTTGCTATAAAATGTATTGTTGGTCATTTTGCTATAAAATATATTGTTGGTAATTCTACTATAAAAAGGTCATATTGTTGGTCATTTTGCTATAAAATGTATTGTTGGTCATTTGCTATAAAATTATTGGTAATTCTACTATAAAAATATATTGTTGGTCATTTGCTATAAAATGTATTGTTAGTCATTTGTTGGTCATTTTACTATAAAAAGGTCATATTGTTGGTCATTTTGCTATAAAATGTATTGTTGGTCATTTTGCTATAAAATGTATTGATGGTAGTTCTACTATAAAAAGGTCATATTGTTGGTCATTTTGCTATAAAATATATTGATGGTAGTTCTACTATAAAAAGGTCATATTGTTGGTCATTTTACACTATAAAAATATATTTTTATTCTTTCATGGTGTTTTGTTTGGGGTTTCAGTATTTAACTATGACCCTAACAGGCGATAACATCTGTTAGGGTCACAGTTGACTTGTAACGGGAGAGTGGACCTGAGAACAACATCAACTAAGAGGTGATTCCACACTCCTCAAAACCTCCAATCTCCCAAGCCTTGCTGTCAGGTGTAGTTTATCGTCATACCCAGGACAGCAAATAATAAATAAAGCCAGTTTCCATAACTGTAATTTATTAGGCTTAGGATAGTTTAACACAAGGTTGCAAGTATGGGGCAGGGTTATGCTCGTTAACCATTAACCTGAGGTACGTAATATAAATGGGTCTAAATAGATGGCGAGGTGGATTTTTGCAATAAACAAGAGATTTTAAATAAAAGTGACGGGTGTAGAAAATCAATTAAAAAGGTGAAAAAATGTAGAATTTTAAGAAAGGAAAGGATTTTTTTTTAGAATCATTACTTTACATTCAATCTTCTCCTTCAGGACTTCTTGTATACAGCCATATCACGTTGTAACATCGGTTCCCATACGATCGGCGATAGGTTAAGTAACGTCGAGCCTGGTCAGTACCTAGATGGGTGACCACCTAGGAATATCAGGTGTTGTAAGCTTGGATGTGCGGAGAATAGTGTAGTGGATAATGACTCAGAATTTTTCGTTGGAAAAGGCATGAACCTCTCCTCCCCACAACTAAGTAAGACTTGTATTATTAAACTATTATTATCTGGAATAAAATTCTTACCACCTAAAAATATTTTCTGGCTTTAAATGACCTGGAAAGGGTTGATAAACCATAGACAATGAATCGATAAAAAATCCAGGACTTCTTACATTTTCCCATAGAATTGTAACAGGTCCTATCTCCATAACCGGGTCTGGTTGGTGTTCATACCAATTTCTTTCAGTTTCCTTCCCGTAGAACTTTCAGTTTTTCCAGTGCAGATATTGGCCCACTCTGCCATGCCAGGTTTTATATTCAGTGGGTGCCAATATCGTGCAACCTGACACAAGATGATCAATTGTTTCTGGATATTTATCACAGAATCTGCATTTTGGGCTGACACAATATTTTAGTATATGTGCTTGATAATTCCTATTAACAAGCATTGGTCATGTGCAGCAAGGATAAAACCTTCAGTTTCAGCTTTCAACCCTGCACTACGTAGCCACTGATGGGTACGGGTTTTGTCTACATCAGCTTTTTTTGGTACGGGCAGAGTATTGGCCATGAAGCGGTTCAGCTTGGCATTGTTTCTTTACTGGTCGGTTGCATTTGTCTTTGCTATCTTTTTAAAGTATTTTGCAGCTTCAGCCGGTGTATTGTGCTTTATTTGTATTTCTACATCCAGTTGAAACCCCATTTTGAATTTGTTGGCTTTCTTTAATACAGAATGAAGACGCTTACTGCATTCATGTTCTTCGCCACATATCATCATCCAGTCTTCTGTAGTTTCCAAATATCTTTGGAGGCCAATAAATAACAAACGCCAGGAATTAATATATGATAATAATGTATTAACGTAATAATACAAAATGGTAAAGCAGGTTAGTAGTTCCAGAAATACGGGTTAGTAGCAAAATATATATACAGTCTTTGGTATCGAAGTATCGCTGTATGACTGCTTACTGAGTCTACGTGCTCGCTCACTGTGACTCCTACAACGCTGTTACCTCACCCCTCACTCTTCCGGTTACCTACAACCTTTTACTCTGGACTCGACTCTTTGGTCTTGCTCTCTCTCTCTTACTCTCGTCTCGCTCTTGCAGTAGTATATGTATATACTGGGTGAGTCCATTTGTATAAAAAGGGGTGGACCCCTCAACAGTATTGATAACTCACATCCAATTTCTCGGTTTAATTTTGCCTTACAAGCCGGTTCTTTTTTTTTTAATTGTTTCATCTTTTCTTATGCTTATATGACATTATTTACTTCTGTGATATTTTCCAATGGTCTGTCCGTTGGCAATGTTTGCAGTTGTACGTTATATGTTTGCACGGTATATTCTTACATTTTCTAAAATAGTTGCACGAGAAGGAACCCATATGCAACTCATTCAAAAAAAATCCTAGTTTATTCATGTAGAAAATATCAGTGCAGTTACACTTTCAGTCAGAATTTGAATCAACCCGCGCGCCCAAAAAAGGCCATCTTTTCCGGGAGAAAATCAGATAAAAAGTTTTACATGTTTATTCATTCTCATCATTCATTTCATGCCTAACATTGTTATTAAGCACGTTTAATCACAGCTTAAGATAATTAAAAATCCCGTGGCGACGGATAAAGGAGTAGTTTAGAATTTAGAGTCTTCCTTCTTCTAGGTTGGTTAACACCCAAAATTACAAGAGTCCAGTCTACCCTGCTATTTCATCCATAGGTGACGGAAGAAAACATGGTTTCATTCTTTTCTTAAGGGGAATTGTATAAAAGTGAACGCAGGTGGCGACGCTAGAATTTGAACTCGGCTCGATGATTTGATTTGATTCTATATTTACATAAGTAAATATAATACCTTTGCTGGGCCCTTCAACGTAGTCTAAAAGTTAACAATTTTGTCTCGCGAAGCTAGTTACGACCGAAGAGTGAGTTCGAGCGTCACTGAGTGCTCCACACTATCAGCCTTGTGCCACATTTAAGCTATAATTAAAAAGTCATTTTGACACTTCGACATGGTGTAATGGTTAACAAGCTTGTCTTGCTAGATCAGTAACGACTGAGTAGTGAGTTCGAACCTCACTGGGTGCCCCATACGTTCGGCTTTTGTGCCACATTTAAGCTACGTTTGGAGAATCATTTGGATGCCCCGATGTGATGTAATGGTTAACAATCTTTTCTTGCTAGATCAATTATCACTTAATAGTGGGTTAGATCCTTACTCGGTGCTCCATACTTTCGGCCTTGTGCCACATCTAATCTCCGATTAGAAAATCACTATTCTAGATCTTTTTACATTAATGTAGGTGTTCCCTGGGACCTTAACCTTGGACCTACGTTGTTTTTAATTTTCCATCAACGACTTTCCTGATATCATCGTTTCTCGGTATCTATGTTGATGACGCAACTATTTACTCCTGTCTTCATAATAATTCTAATTGGTTCGATAAATTCAAATTGACAGCTGATCTCAAAAATGACTTACAGTCTGTTGTTAAATGGGGCAAGGAGTGGCTTGTTAATTTTAACGCCTCAAAAATGAAACTGCTCTCTTTTAATCATCTGAGAGAATCCTTTTTGCCTTCCATCAGGATGGCTGATGCTAACCTTCAGGAAGGTGACTCATTGCGCCATCTTGAGCTAACGTTTTCAACTGACATGAAAGAGAAAGAGTAGGTTAAATCGATTGCTAAGACTGCAGCTAAAAAAGTTGGTTCATTGTGTCGTACTAGAGAATTTTTCTCGCCAGAATCTATCTTTAAAAGTCTACCATTCGTCCTTGCTTTGAATATTGCCGCCATATCTGGTCTGGTGCTCTTGCTATATATTTAAAGAAAAATCTGCAATGTTATTGGTTCTGACCTGGAATCTCGGCCTCAGTCCCTTTCCCACCACCGGCACGTAGCTTCCCTGTGTCTCTTCTATAAATACTTTCATGGTAATTGTTCTGATTATATTTTTTTCTATGGTTCCTAGACTTTAAGAATGTAAGCGCAGTACTCGATTGGCGGCAAGGTCTCATTTCTTTTGCAGTTGAAATGGTTAGATATAACCGCAAGTTCTATACCAACAGTTTCTTCTCTCGCACTTCTCTCTTCTGGAACTCTCTTCCAGTCTCTTGCTTTCCAATCAAGTTTGATTTTCAAAAATTTAAATGCAACGTCAATTGTTATGGGTGTCTTCTTAATTCTTATTCTTTTATTGTCCTCTCTCCTTAATAATAGTCTTTCCTCATATTCTCTAACACTCAGTACCCTCTTGCGTCCTAGTGGCTTTATTGCCTTGCCTGGGGTGAAATGATTTTTAAAAAATACTTTGCTTAAATCCCCAAATAAGAGTCTTATTTCAAAGGAAAAATACCACCTCTATCCCTTAATGATTGTCAGATTTTGTATTTTACCAACCTCGGTATTATTTTACTGGTCACGGTATTAGTTTACCAGTCTCGGTATTAGTTTACCGGTCACGGTAAAATAGATCCCTAGTCTATTTTGCCGATAAACATTTTTATTATTATGTAGGCAGATAATGTTAAAAATAACAACTCACAGATTTAACACAGAAGTTTATTCATTTTCACCAACAATTTAAAATCTTTTCCACCATTAATTGTTAAAACACAAGTTAAAATCATTTATTCATCATCAATTATTAAAATAAATATAGAAGTCTCTGAATATTTTAAACACTTCAGGCATAACAGTCTCTGCAAGTCCCAAACTTTCTCTTGGCATGATTCTCCTGCCAATACACTTCAGGTTCACCCACTGAAAACAACAGTCACAGACCACAGAATCCATGTTGTTCAAGTCCTGCCTACACAGCTCACACAACCACTGCGCTGACGATCTCAAGGCTTGATAAACATGATGGTGAAAATAAATAATCTTCTATGACTTGTTATTTTTAACATTACTTGCCTTCATAATAAAAAAAAAATATTTACTGCCAAAATAGCCTGGGGGTCTATTTTACCGAGACCGGTAAAATAAGCTTAAAAACATGATTGGAGCGTTCAGTTAGCAAGGTCAATTTTACTGTCTTTAATTCAGGCCGATAAGTGTCCATTTCATAAGGTGTGACGTCATTTCTTTACATTTGGATACGCCATGAGCAGATATGAATGTACATGAGAGAATCATGGAAGATTGTAGTTTAAAGACAGTAAATTCGACCTTGCTAACCGAACGCTCCTCTGTGGCCAAATCGATTAAATGCACGTCAGGCTATATGATGGTTCCGTATAGGATACAAGTTCGATTCCCGTCGGAGGACGCATATTTTCTATGAAAATTTCTCGTACATTCAGGCCGGTAAATGTCGTTAATACTGTTTATTATAAACAGAACATTTACTTAAATATTTATATCTATAAAAAGAATGTATAAACATAAAAAATGTTTTAAAATAATTATCGGATTTTGTCCATTTCATAAAGATTAATATGTTTAGGATTATTTGAAGAAGTATTATATTCTATTTGTTTTATATTAAAATTTCTAATAGAAAGTTTATCATCGACAGTATAGCGAGGAAAATTATTAATAAGAATTTGTTTTATATTTTTTTTAGTTCACTGTTTTTTGGATGATTTAATTTTTGCGCGGTTTATTAAGTTTTTTATGAATGTTGTTTTATAGTAATTTGGACATTCACTCTTATAGTTAAGAGTGTACGAATTTATGTTAGTAGTATGGGAAGATAGTGAATTTATAAATATTATTATTTTTGGTGTTTATCAATTCATCTCGAAACAGAATTTTATTGCTATTATTAAGTTTTTATGTAACTTTAAGGACAGAATTATTTTAGAATTGTTTTTGGAGATTATATATTTCATCCATACACTTGACTAAAATAAGGATATCATCGGCATATCTTAGGTAGATGGAGTTTTTTTTTAAATTTATTTAATATATTATTTTCAACCAAGACATATAAAAATTCCTAAAAGTT